TTGTTTCGTAAAAAATTTTAAACTTCTTGTGACCTACAACCGAACCACACAAATTTACAGGTTAAAAATTAATAAACAAACTCATCGTAAAAACTTTTCTACTTTCTCGCGTTTACTTTCCAATGTTATTTTTCAAAACAAACATTCTGCCAAAACGAAAAGTATCGTAATGTTTCATTCAATTCATCGGCATCTCTACATATAATTACATACTTCTTTACCTCTCCACTTATTCATTCACTCATTCCTTCATTTATTAATTTATTCAATTATCATTTATCTACTTATTTATTTGTATTTGTAATAATTCCTATGCAGTAAGCATTATTTAATGATGTGCTGTGTTGTTTTTATTCTTTTTACAAAAACCTATCAAAATGTATAGTTATATATATATATATATATACATATATATATATATATGCTACCAGTAGTAGTAGTATTGTTGTTTTTAATAATATTAATGTAGTAATAATGTCCGTAGGCAGTACTAATTTATCATTAACGTACTTTACAATGGCGATAAAACGATCGATAAGAAGTAGTTTTTTTTTATATATTTGTTCATTTTATTTGTTTATTCATTCATTCATTCATCTATTCATTCATTCATCCATTCATCGGTTTGATCACACGCATGCATGCATGAAGGCTTACTGAGAATTGTTCAATAAATTTAAACCAACCGACTAAACACACGCCTATTCGTGCTTTATTATTGCTGTTATTATTATCGTTATTAATTGTTGTTATTATTATTTTTATTTTATTATGCTTTACGCTACCAGGTAAATTTCGTTTTGATGAATGATGTCAAATGAAAAGCCGGCACCCGTGCGTTGAGCTGGAGAGAGGGAGAGAGAGAGAGAGAAAGAGTGAAGAGTGAACAGGTGTGAGTAGATGAAGTGAAAAAAATGAATGAGTAAAAAATTTGGAAGAAGAAACAAAAACAAAAAAAAGAGTGAATGAATGAGAGGGTGAAAAAAGATATAAAAAAAAGAGAGAGGGAAACAGAGAGAGAGAGAAAAAAAAAAGAAAGAGAGAGAGGGAGAGAAAGATTGCCGGAATCGATTTGCATTAATTTATAAGATGGGCTAGCAAATCAATGAAAGAGAGAAAAGAAGGACAACAATAACAACAACATCATCATCATCGGCAACAGCAGCAGCAACAGCAGCCACAACAACTACAACAACAGCTACAACAACAGTACCAACAACAACACTAACAATAATAACAATAAGAACAACAATAATAACCAACAAATGTAAAACGAAAAAGATCAATAATCGAGTTATAAAAAACATGTGACGACTTTGATGGTTATGATATTGATGAAAACAACAACAACAACCACAACAACAACCACAACAACAACCACAATAATAATAATAATAATAACGATGCTGACGGCTATGAGTGGAAAAAATAAGAAAACAATATAATAAAAATGTGATGGTGATGATGATGACGACGACGACGATGATAACAATGATAATTATAACAAAGAGATACGACGACGACTAATACGATGATGATGATGATGGTGGTGATGATGATGGTGATGACTACGTAATAACCAACAAAAACACATTCACCTCTGCTCCTATCCAATAATCAATAATGATGATGATAACGATGATGATGTATTGGTGATAATAATAATAATGATGATGATGTATGATGATAATGATGATGGTATTGATGATGATGTAGGTTATGATTCTAGTCATGATGAATGATGGTGGTATTGATAGTGATGAAGATGATAACAATAATTGGTAATTTTTATCATAGCATTATTGACTGCATTGTGATGTCACCGAATATGATGATGATGAAGAAGAAGATGATGATGAAGATGATGGTCTAAATGACGGCTATGACGTTGATGATGACGATGTTAATGATTAACTGTCAGCACTTGTGGTTGCAAACAATAACAATGACTAACCAAATAACTAGTTACGCTACTATTATTATTATTATCATTATCGCCATTTATTATTATTATTGTTATTATTGTTGTTGATGTTGTTGTTCTCCAAAATGTCATCGTGACAAATCCAACCAGCCGACAGGATAGTGAAAAAAATCATTGCCATTACAAAAGAATTTTACTATTCAATTATTATTATTATTTATTATTAATTAACTAATATTATTTATTATTATTATTATTTATTATTATTATTACGTATTCAACCCTTGCAATAATAATAATAATAATAATAATAACTATAATAAAATAGCAATAATAATAATAATAATATGATGCCCAACCACCAACATGCTATGACTAATGATCAAAAACAGGTGTCTCCCCGCAAATAAATGTGTATGTGTATGCGTGGATGTGCGTGTGTGTGTGTGTGTACATGTGTGTGAGTGTGTTTGTGTGTGTGTGTGTGTGTGGATGTGTGTGACGAAATGTTTCTCCATTTCTTCCGAATTATTCACCCGAAAAACTCCTCAGATTTAGGAAAAAAATGACTACAAGCACATTTCAATTTGATATTAAATCATCGGTAAATAAATTAAAATCAATAAAAAGGTATAAGTTAGAAAAGAATAACAGCAGAAAGTTAACATATAAAATGATGGAAATAATATCGTCATCATCATCGTCGCCATCATCATCACCATCATCATCGTCATCATAATAATAATAATAACAATAACTTCTTAATCATCATTACCAAGACCATCCATCCGTTTTTGACTCCGTCTTCATGTACGCAATCATAATCAATCAATTCTCACATTTTTTTTATCAAAATTGACTATATCACCATCATCATTTTTCTAACTATCCCCATCACCACCACCATCATCATCAATACCCATCATCATCATCATCATCACCATCAATACCTACCCCCATCATTATAATCGTCATCATAACCATCATCACCTACCACCATTATCATAACCACCATCATCATCATCCTCATCAATATAAGTTACAGATGGTGAGAATAAAATGAAAAAAATGTATCTTTCCAAGGCGATATAAAATTGATTGATGGATAAACAAATGAATAATATACCAACATGTGACCAAAAATTTAACACACACGCACGCACATGCACACACGCACTCACACATTAATATATTTATTAGTCACAAGTAAGAGTTTTTTTTCGAATCAATGAATAAATAAATTTGCATCGGTCACAAATTTTCAGACTATTCCAATTCGTTCGGTGTTTATACTTGTTATTAATACTCGTAATCTTTGTTATCAATTTCCGATCGTATTAATATTATTATTATTTGTTTTTATTATTTCTATTATTCATAATTTTCATTCATTTCAATCAAATGAACACGATACGGCATGCGTCTGCCATTGAAGATTTATGTGTGAATATGCAAGACTGGAAACACGAACGCCGGTCCAACAAGTAGAAATATCTACAAATTATAAATTACAGGAGTATAAAAATATACGAGCGTACAATATATCTGTATGTATATGGAGAGAGTCGAATGAAAGAAAGGCTTAAAATCACCAATTGAAATCTATGACGTCACTAATACGATGGACCAATCAGGATATAGGTGAGGTAGGGGTGGAGCTAACTTGTCTGGTAAATTTACGCGATTGGTAGGTTGATATTAAATCCTTCAAAGATGATTGGTTCTCGAAGAATGTGACGATTGGTGGTTCAGTCAGCATGGAGGCTACAAACTGTTCAAAAGTGATCGACCAATCATCGTCTTCGGCGTTTGATATGGGCGTAGTCATATTGTTCGATTGGCTGTTGTCAGCAGCTGTAATACTGCACCCGTCGTTGAGGCAATTGTTTTTTGGAATACTGTTAATGACGTCATCGTCGTTAGGAATGTTTGAAATGTTTTCAACCTGAGAAATCAAGCTCCCGCCCAATTGATTAGTAACTTCAAAAGGCAAAAGTTCATTGGCTGGCAGAAAACCAATAACACAAGGAATTGAATTAATATCACTGGCAGAGGAGTGCTTGGACCTGACCAATAGCTGATCAAGTGTGCAAGATGAACTCGTCTGATTGGCTGCTTTCAATTTTCGAATTTTTTTCCCCGCCTCTCCGATTTGCAGGAGCAAGCTGGCAACCGTCGCAATGGAATGGTAGAGGGATTGTTCATTGGGAGCGTTCAGGAACATTCCGTACATGGTCTTGCATAACTGGATGAACTGATCCTGGTGAAGATGAGGATGACGGAGGAGGAAGTGATGGTGATGACAGGGAGATAAAGTAAGAAAATGATGAACGATATTCACATTCAAACAATATCCTCCCAATGTTGAGAAACTTTCATTTTCGTCGTCCACACCGCCATATTCACCACCACCATCATCATCACCATCATAAACATCATCACCATCACAACCATCATCATCATCATCATCACCACCACCTGTCTCATGTTCGGCAGCTGTTTGGACCTGTTCTTGCAGGAGATTGTCCCATCAGCATTCCTCTCCTTTGAATGTGGTTTCACGCTAACATCGGCAGCAGTAGTAGAAGTAGAAGCAGCAGTAGCAGAAGTAGAAGCAGCAGTAGAAGCAGCATTGGTAGTAGTGGTAATAGCAGCAGCAGCATTAGAGGCAGTAGTAATGGAAGAAGAGGCAGTAGAAGCGGAATCATCATTATAGTTATCAATGTCCAGTGAGAAGAAAATTGTGTGTGAACGTGGAGGCGATGTCGATGTCATCATTGCAGCTGCTGATGCTGCCGCTGCTGCGGTTGCCTCTGCTGCTGCTGACGTTGTTGGTTGTGATGATAATGATGATGAAGGTATCAGAGGCGGTAATGATGATGATGATAACTTGAACTGTTCTTCCTCCTTCTTGTTTGGACTCGATATGAAATATTCCAAAGCATCCACTGCTGAATCTGTCGAGTCAGCTGCATAAATTAGCATGAAAAACATAAATTAACATTGGATTAACAAAAATTAATGATAATTAGCATAATATGTCTATGAACGAAAAATTGAATATAACCACATTATTTCAAAACTAACAATAAAAAAAATAAAAAAAAATGGTTACTGATTTGATTGGTGGACAAATTGCTGACGTCAGCGCACTCATCGTCCAATAAGGCGGGAGGTAAGTGAAGTCTGTAGATAAATGACAGTTTTTCAAAGATATCAGAGCTCATGATTGGTCCGAGCACGTGCACAAAGCCTCGAAAGTTCACCAGGCCATCTTGTTTCTCATCGACCAGCTGGTTCGTGTGTGGAGTCATCGGTGGAGTAAGTTTCCAAGTGGAAATTATAGAAATTATAGAAATATTTGTATTCAACGTGATTGCTAATTTCCACAATCATCATCTCATTAAAACTTCACAAGTGTAACCACCATTGCCATGTTCACGTCATCACTAAAAGTGCAACTGTCATAAAAAAGTTCTCACATTCATCCAAATACAAAACCAAGCCAAACCAAACGAACCCTAAAACTCCTGAGAGCCAACACGTCCCCCAAGCTTCCACATCCCCATGGCAAGAGGGCCAAAAAAAGAGTGCGAAATTGTTCAAAAGGCAGGGTATACTGTTCGTAGAAGGGTTTCCTTGGGTCGAATTTATCGAAAATGTCGCTAACCAAAGGTGTTGTTGAGGAAGAGGGATGATGAGGTTGACGTTTGTTGTTGAAGCTGTTGCTGCTGCTGCAGAGGCTTCAAACTGCACATGCTGTAGTATTCCTCCTTGTTTTTGGATGAATGAGCAAATGAATGAATGAAAAATGAGTAATGGAACGAAAGAAAATGGAAAAATAACCATGAGTTATGTAAAGCGAAAAATCTAAAACTAGACGATTGGATAATAAAAACTTAACAGAAAACTGGGTTGCAAAACGAACCAGCTGGTCAATCATTCAACTTATCAATCACTCACTCAATCAATCAACCAGCCAGCCAACCAACTAACCAACCAGCCAACAAACCAACCAGTCAACCAGCCAGTCAACCAACCCTAAAAATCCTAAACAAGTCTTGTAACTCGGACTGACTGAATGATGTTTCGTTGGATATGCTACTCAGTACATTCTTCATCGACGAATCTTCAAGGCTCTACGTCATCATCATCATCATCATTTACTTTGATCATCATCATTTTTATCGACATCATCATCATCAAAGTCGCCACACCACACCACACCACACCACGCCACACCACCTGGACCACTTTGATCCTATGCTTAAGTCTCAACTTGTTTATTTCTTCGTTCGTTATCTGGCCGAACTTGGAGTAGGCCTGGTAAATGAGGGCGCTTACGTCCAGAGGCTGGTGTTGATGATGATGTTGATGATGATGATGTTGTTGTTGTTGATGATGATGTTGATGATGATGATGATGTTGTTGTTGTTGATGATGATGATGATGATGTTGTTGTTGTTGTTGATGATGATGTTGATGATGATGATGATGTTGTTGTAGTTGTTGATGATGTTGACGATGATGATGATGTTGTTGTTGTTGTTAATGATGATGTTGATGATGATGATGATGTTGTTGTAGTTGTTGATGATGATGACGATGATGTTGTTGTTGATGATGATGATGATGTTGTTGTTGGTGATGATGATGCTGATGACGACGACGATGGTAATATCATATCATAACTATAATCCATCCATCACTATCATCATCATCCACATTCCCACTCACCTTATCATCCATCCATCACTATCATCATCATCCCCATTCCCACTCACCTTATCATCCATCCATCACTATCATCATCATCCACATTCCCACTCACCCTATCATCACCGTTATCACTGCTAAAGGCCTTCTCATACTTCCCTCGAATACTCTCACCACCATCATCACTATCTCTCATCTTACTCTCCAAACAATCCGGGTTTTTCGAGTGGTATATTCTTGGATTGCGACCGGTTAGGCTATTTATAAAATGATTGACTAGCAGCAAAGCTCCGCCTTCGTCTCCGCAATTAATCAAGTCATCTTTCAAGTAGTCCATTATCATCAGTGATATGATGAATATGACCTAGTTACATAATTAGTTAATTAGTTAATAATGTTATGTTAAAGAGGTAGGAGAACGTTATGGGCAAGCGGAAGAAAAGTTTTCAAAAAAGTTTAATAAATGAAAGAGTTCATTCAGTTTATAAATTCATTAACTCATTCATTCACGCATTTGTTTATTCGTCCATTCATTCATTCATTCATTCATTCATTCGTTCATTCATTCATTCATTCATCCATTCATTCATTCATTCATTCATTCTTCCATTCATTCATTCATTCTTCCATTCATTCATTCATCCATCCATTCATTCATCCATCCATTCATTCATTCATCCATCCATCCATTCATTCATTCATTCATCCATTCATTCTTTTGCACCTTAGCTCCGTCATAAAAAAAGCAATCCATAATATTCAGGGCTTGTTCAAATGGAAGGACGCTGCAATGGAAAGAATGAACGATACTCAACAGATGAACACATTTTGACATCATCATCACCATCGTGATAATCGACACGATAATTATTATTATTATCAATATTATTATTATTATTATTATTATTATTATTATTATTATTATTATCACTAGCCCCATCATCATGATCATCACCTCAAGAAGATAGTGAGAAACCAGGAGAGAGAGATCAGGCTGATGAGGTTCAGCTTGTCAAGTTGCCCAGAGAGCTGCGACATGTAGCGCTCTATCAGTTCAGAGAAGACTCCTGATAACGATGATTACGGTTGTGATGATGATGATGATGATCATCATCATCATCATCATCATCATCATCATCATTGTCCCCATCATCACGATGGTGACAATGATGATGATGATTACGATGATGATGATAGTAACGATAGGGTAACAAAATTTTAAATTTTATATCAAGCAATTTTCACTGAAAAAAAATTTTTGGAAAGAAGAGCGAGTGAACGGGGGCTAGATGTGTCGTGCCCCAAAGACTAAAAATAACATAAAAATAATAACAACAATAATAATAATAATCCAAAAAAACAATCCCAACCCTGGTCCACTAAGACTCCGACGACCTTGACATTGTAATAATCCGGAAGCAGACGATCACAAATGGCCGACAGTAGGAAGAAGGCCTCTTCCTCATTCAAGTAGAGAAGGAGGACGCTCGTGACCATGTTGATGCCCTGGCAGTACCCTGTTTGTCATCGTCATCACCATCATAATCATCATCATCACCATCACTACCATCATCATCATCGTCATCACTACCATCATCGTCATCATCACTACCATTATCATCATTATCGTCATCATCATCATTACCATCATCATCATCATCATCATCGTTATCGTCGTCGTCTTCACCTATGGTAGGGTTCCTGTAGGCGTTAGCAGTGAGAACTCTCCGCAGAGCAGACAGTCCCACCTCATCCTGATAGGCTGGATGTTCGGGCAGTGACCTATGTAGGTCACGCTCTATCTCCTCCGTCGTGAAGTTCACCATCGTACTCGTGTCCGCAAGTAACTTCCGGTATAACCCCTGGTTGGCTGCCATCTTGATAATAATGGTAATAATAAAAAAATAGCATTAATAATAATTTTAATAATAATAATAATAATAACAATATGAAAATCAAGCGAGTTCCGGCGACCCTTGCTAAATAGCTGTCGTGAAATTAAAAAAATTTGCACTTGAAATACTTGCTGGACATAAATTTATGTAAGCTTCAAGTCATATATATGCTAAATTTAGGTAATATATATACTTAATATGAAGTTATAAAGGCAAACATCACATCATCCTCGTCGTCATCATCACCATCACATCATCATCATCACCATCACATCCTCATCATCACCATCACATCATCATCATCATCACCACCACATCATCATCATCACCATCACATCATCATCATCACCACCACATCATTACCATCATCGTCGTCGTCACCTCATGTATAGCCCCAGAAGAGACCATCCAGACCTCAGCCCTCAAGTCATCTGGCACCCCGTTCAAGATGAGGTTGTGTCCCTCGTGCGTTCTATACATACTCACCCCTCTGTTCAACATTGAGATGTCACGATGATGGTGATGATGTAGTGATGAAGTGATGATGACGATGATGGTGATGATGGTGATGATGGTGGTGAGATGATGGTGATGATGGTGATAATGATGGTGATGGTGAGACGATGACGATGATGATGGTGAAATGATTATAGTGATTTTGTAATGATGATAAAAATTATGAAAATATTGGCGACCACAAATATGCACAAACAATCCCAGCTAAACACAGAACAGAAATAAACCAATGTACCCACACACATCAACACATGCTGACACACGGAATATATACATATAATACAAACACACACATACAAACACACACATATACAAAAAACACACATACAAACACACACATACAGATATACACACGCACACACACCTGCCATATTCTTCGAAATGAACCATCCATAGTTGCATCTTAACTTGCTCCTTCACTGAAACTTCATTCCTCCTCTTCCATCCATCCTTCCGCGAGAACAAACCCCTCAGTGCTGGCGTTAACTTTAACCCTGATGATGATGATGATTATGACGACGATGACGATGATGATGATGGTGATGATGATGATGGTGATGACGATGATGACGACGACGATGGGGATAATGATATGTGGATGATGATTATATACGTGTATGATAGACTGAGATCCGTCTGCATTCAAACCCGGTTCCTGCAACACAGCAATAGCCAAAAATGCCAGCAACCTAAAAAAATGACGCCAAAAATAATTTACCCACCGTCGTGGCCACCACTGCTGCTGATGCTGCAGCCACCATCGCCAAAACTCCTCCTCCTCCTTAGACCGCCAGCACAATCGTCATCAGCACCTGCAGCACCATCATCGTAAGCACTCTTGAGTGAGTAAGTCATTGATGAGGATGACGAGAGGAGCTGGCTTGCAGTTGTTGCGGACTCTGGCAGGTTGCAGAGCAGGTCGGATATACGCTCCAGGACGAAGTCTCTATCGAGGAGGTTCGCGAATAAAAAGTTCGCCTGTCGGGATGACGATGGTGAAGATGATGTCGATGGTGCTGTTGTTGATGATGATGATGTTGATGATGATGTTGATGATGATGTTGATGATGATGTTGATGATGATGTTGATGATGATGTTGATGATGATGTTGTTCATGATGTTGTTGTTCATGATGTTGTTGTTGATGATGTTGTTGTTCATGATGTTGTTGTTCATGATGTTGTTGTTCATGATGTTGTTGTTGATGATGTTGTTGTTGTTGATGATGATGTTGTTGTTGATGATGATGTTGTTTGATGTTGATGAAGATGATGATGACGGCGATGATGTTGATGGTGAGTAGAAAAAAATCATATCAAATCAGAATGATGATAAAATGAAAATGATAAGGTTGAGAATGAGAATGATGGTTGCATAAGTGAACAACAATGATCTGGGTACAAAAAATCTCTGAAACTTATCGTGAGTAAATATATCAGCCAACTAAATCAAAAACCAGTCAACCAACCAACCAACCAACCAACCAACCAAAAAACCATTCAACCAACCATAGAACCATCCAACCAACCAAAGAACCATCCAACCAACCAAAGAACCATCCAACCAATCAAAGAACCATCCAACCAACCAAAGAACCATCCAACCAATCAAAGAACCATCCAACCAACCAAAAAACCATCCGACCTTATTTCTCGTTGTGAGTAATATTGTATTGTGGAGGATCCCTTTCGTGCTGTTGTCCACCCTCTCAACCACACTGACCTCTGATAATGGGATGATGACACTCACCAAGTTGCGTATCTATAAATGATGGTGGCATGGTGATGACGAAGATGGTGATGACGAAGATGATGATGATGATGAAGATGATGAAGATGACGTCAGTGAGAGTAAAACAAGTTTCAAACAACAATAAATCAGATTTTAATATAATTCATTCATTCACAATATAAACTATTTGAATCATCAGACGATTTTTTGAAAACCCTTATCATCTTCATCATTAATTTTCAAAAATCAGCACATCCCTACTTACTCTACTCCGGAAGCAGACGAATCCGGAAGCCACGTAAAGTATTCCCCAGACGTGTTGTTTGTTATAAGGGGTCCAGAGCATGCACTCTGCTTCGCCGTCCAATCGTATGCTCAGTGGAAGGTTGAATAATGATCTGATTGGTTGGTTGGTTGTTTAATTAAATGAGAAATGATCTTATTGGTTGAGTTGGCTGGTTAGTTGGTTGAATAATGATCTGATTGGTCGTGATTTGTTGCAAGTTTGGATAGTTTTCCTAAATGATTATTGTTACGTGTTAACTTATTTAATTTTTCATTCATTTATTCATCCATTAAATAATTTTACTCAATCAATCAATCATTCTTACATTCCATCATTCTTACATTCTTTCATTCTTACATTCCTTCATTCTTACATTCCTTTCATTCTTACATTCCTTCATTCTTTCAGTCATTTTTCCATCCATCCATCCACTAATTCCTAACCACCTAAATGTTTCACTTCTAACTCTTGCCTCGATGTCTCTTTTCACTGAATATTTCTTCGGTTTTCTGGTGCTGTCAGAAAAAAAATTGTCGCAATACATACACATATGAATAAATTATTACAATCATTGTTAGCCATAATTAAATCTACTGTAAACAACTATGAATAACTGACTGAGATATGTGGATATAATTTAAGACAGATGGATATAAATTGAGATATACGAATTGTATATGGGTCCAAATTTAAATAGATAGATACGAATTGAGATATATGGATATAAATTGTGACAAATGGATACAAACTTACTTGACTTTTTGGGGCAGTGATCTATCTTCTTCGAATCCTTCTTCAGTTATTAATCTACCATTTGATTATTATTACAACAAAAATATAACAATAATATTATTATTATTTTCAATTCAATATTTTTTTAAATTTTCAACAACAAACAAAGCAGGGCATGTAAATAGGCATAAAACTGAGGCATCAAATACATTGCAGTAGACCAGTAAACAAATTGCACCCTTACAACCCCTACTATAATATTACAAATAATAATTATACAAAATTATTATAACTGTTTCATAGCCATGTTGGCGAGTTGTTGCATCAGTTGGAAGGTTGCTTCTATTTGGAGGAACATAGAGAAGGAATACTGTGTGTGTGTGTTTGTGTGTGTGTGTGTGTGTGTTTGTGAGTGTGTTTGTTTGATTGTGTGTTTGTTTGAGTGTGTGTGTGTCAATCTTTTAAAATAATTTGTTTTATTTTGAATAAAACTGGAAGAAAAAGGTCTGTAAAATTAATGAAAATTCGTCTGGAGTTGGTCCGCGTCATGTCAGTCAAATTCAACACCTGTCAGGATCGAAAAGTTTGCAGGACATATTGATCTAATGAATAATTGATGAGCTTATGAATAATTAATCAGCTTGTGAATAATTAATGAGTTGATGAATAATTAATGAGCTGATGAACCCACATTGTTCTCCCTGGTGGTGACTGTTATGTTGTCTGGTAGGATCAAGTTGTTCCCACATTCGAGTTTCTTCAATGGAAAATAATTTAATTAAAATGAAAAATTTATTCACTGCCTGGTCGGTTGGTAGGTTGGTTTGTTGATTGGTTGGTTGGTTAGTTGGTTAATCAAATGATAGATTGCTATAAATAAAAATTATGACTATTAAAAATATTAATTATGTTAATTAATATTATTATAATCATAATAATTGAGGAAGGAACTTGAAAACTATCATACACACACCCAGGCACGTGACGTACCCAACGATCGTACATACGTACAAATAATACAACATGTACGCTGAACAGTGCGGATATTACAATCTTTTGATACAAAGAATACAAAAAAAAAATCTCATATAAAAAATGTATAAAATTGGTGTGTAGGTTGTGTAGTGTGGATGTTGCAACCTTTCTGAAAAGCAAAATCGAAATCGAAACCAACAACCAACTAACCAAAACATCCGCTCAAATGATACTTCTTCATTGAAAAAAACTAAAATCGAAACAAAAACCACAAACGAAATAAGAGGGAAATAGAAAACGAAACCACAAACCAAAAAATACAGCTAGCTAACCACAACGTCTGCCCACATAATGATCAACTTGGCCTCCTTTCCCAACATGAAAGAGTAGAAGGAGAGGTGATTGACACTGAGGTACATCCAGCCCTGTCTAGGCACTCCACTCTTTATCAAACTGCACGAGTAATCTGAGTGGCGGTGAGTAGAACTAATAACTTCTCTTCAAGTATTTGTATTTTCAAGTAATTTTAAATTCATTCATTCGTTCGTTCGTTCATTCATCCATCCATCCATCCATTCATTCATTTGCTCGTCTGTCTATCACACAAAAACGAACGCACCAACTATATTTTTGACATAAAAAAAATAAATCAATAATGTCGATCATTCATTGCGCATCCATTTATTTTCACGAACTCATTTCTAATTAACGAGATGTTGAAGAGAGAGAGAGAGAAAGAGAAGAAAGATAGAGAAAGAAAGAAAGAAAGAGAAAGAAAGAGAGAGAGAAAAAGAGAGAGTACATTTTTACAATTTAAGTGCAATTGTACTCACAGCTGACGAGTTTCTCTTCAGCAGGCATATTAAAGAGTCGTCTGAACTTCACAGTCGCCATCGACATACTGTCTGACGTGTCTGGAAGGTAGAAAAATATGAAGAAGGGATCCAACATCACCATCATGTCCGTCCTTATCATCATCATCATTATCATCATCATTATCATCATCACTATCATCTCCGTCCTCATCATTATCATCATCATTATCATCATAACCGTCATTATCACCAATATCATTATCGCTATCATTGTTATTGGCATCTTCAATATCTATCGCTATAGAAAGCAGGCCATTCAATGTTACATCGCCGTCAACTTCACCATCATCATTCTATTACATCATCATTATCATCATCCTCATTATCGTCGTCATCATCATCGTCATCGTCAGTATAATCATCATCAACATCGTCGTCGTCGTCATCATCGTCATCAGTATCATCATCATCATCATCAGTACTCTTGATGTTATTGTTGGCGATGAGACTTTGCACTTTGCAGAGTATGAACTCTCTCATCTCTGATTTAGATTCAAAGGAGTCTGTGTTTGAAACAGTAATAATAATAATAATAATAACAACAACAATAATAATAATAATAATAAAAATAAAACAATGACAGTAACTTACACCAATTTATGTCTGAGATGAACTCAATTGAATACTAATCACAAAAAACTAACGATGATAATAAACATCAATCAATATTAATCAATGATGAAACAATCCTGAAACAATCCTGGCCTATCTTACAGTTTCAAGTTTACTTTTTTTTACAGTTTTAAGTCTCACTTCTTCACAAAGTTAATCAACTTTATTTTAATTCCTGACCTTCTAAATCTCATTACATTCATTCATCAAGAAACCAACTAATCAATCAATCAACCAACCAAATAACCAACCAATAAATGAACCAAACATCAACTAATCAATCAAACACTTAATAAATAAACCAACCAACCAGTCAACCAACCAACCAGCCAAACCAGCCAGCCAACCAGCCAGCCAACCAAACAGCCAGCCAACCAAACAACCAGTCAACATACCAACCCAAACTAGGAACCAAATTTTGTAATATCCACTTCCATTCATTCAGTATTTCTTTCTTACTGTTCGATGTAGCTATGACTTTCAGAAAAATTATCATTCAAATAAAGAAATAAATAATTATTAACTACATGATTTATTTATTTTTTATTAATTGATTGATTTATTCATTGCTTAATTAATCTATTAATTAATTAATTAAATACTCTAAAAGCTTACCATAGCTTATATCAGAATCTTCAGTCTGATGTAATATCCTGTAGTTAGAGGCCTGTTTGAAATAAAAGACAATCATAATAAATATTGTTATTGTTGTTATTATTACTACCATTATTTATTTATTTATTATAACTATAATTACCGACATTACTAATAAGTTAGTATATCTTTATTTAATTTATCACTTAGTAAACCATCAAAAAATCAATTAAGTTAGGAATCACTCATTTTATTATTATTATTCTTCTTCTTATTATTATTATTATTATTATTAACTAACTAACTAACTCTACTATCAAGAACTGAATCAAGAGTGCCCACCAGCAAGCCAGTCAGTCCTTTTCCCTTTCTCTGCTGGAGTACGAAATACGGGTTAGCCTGCTCCTGAGACCTTATTATTATTTATTATTAATTAAATTATAATTATAAATTCATATTAATTATCATAATTTAGATTTAATACAGTTTACAGTATATATAATATAAATTTTTGTTTTTTTTTAGAGGACCAAAAAACCATGTCACTTCCTTGTTAATTTATTATTTTAAATTTAGTTGATTAAAATTTTTAATGAAGATTTTTATCAAATAAAAATTTCAAAATTAAATTTCATGCCAAAAAAAACAAGGGTTGAAGTTCTTTGAAAAAAATATTATTGCTTTTCTGAGAAAAGTTTTCTTTCCTTTTACTCCACTTTTTATTCAAACAAAATTCAAACAAAGTTTCTGGTAAATAAGCAAATTTCCTATTCCATCACATTACAAACAAAATTCTTGAAAAAATCTACAAAACAAAAATATGACAAGAATTAATTGATTTTTAATTTTTAATAATTAATTTTAATTAATATTAAATATTATTTAATTATTATTGTTGTTCTCATATAAAAAAAGTACCATAAAATTAAAAGTTAATTAAAAATGGATGACACCAACCACAAAGCCCCGGCTAATAATACTTCTTCCGGTTTAATCCACATTTTAAATTAAATGACATTTAATTACTTTTATGAAATGAAAAAACTTTGATACGGGGGGGGGTAACTACTAAATTTTATTGTTTACTTTTTAATGATGAAAAGTGAAAGCAAATAATAAATTTTTAAAATAAGTATTTCTCTAGCGCGTTTTATTTTTCTAATTTGTTTCATCAATGAGTATTTTTAAAATTTAAAAAGTATCCTTGAACATAAAGTAAATTAATTGCATGTTTTCAGTACTCTAAAGAACTGACAATTTAAAATTTTTTTATAATTATGTAATGTTATTTAAAAAGTTTAATTTTAGATGTATAATGTATTGTATATTTAAACATGATTAATCAAGATTTAAAAAGATTAAACAACAAACTGTTGATGATAACGAATATTAACAATGATAATGCATTTGATAAATGAAGGTTGTGGTGTTTTAATCAAACTTTAATTTCAACGTTTCAGTGCAAAGATGTTGAATGAAGATAATGATGGTTATATACATCTTATGCCTACAAAATATATATTTGTGTATAAATGTGTGGCATGAAGTTTTATAGCATTATATGTAAATATAATGGAATCGTGAATTAATGATTAAAAAAACCTTAAGCATAGCAGATACAAGCATAAATATTGCTGTATTCAACATAATTGTTGTGGCTTTAACAAATAAACAACTTGCAGTCCACAAAGTTGGCTTGCATAAGTAAACACCCAATATTTATAGATTATATATATATATATTAATTATATTCTAGACATATGACGTGTATACAATATACATTGCTGATTTTTTTTACTAAAAACGCCTGACAAAAAAATAACTTCACTGATTATTGTTGAATGGTGATTACGCGGTAGTGCAATGTATCTGTATATAGTAACTGTATGATAATATTATTGTATATATATATATATATATATATATATGATAGGGTGTGTATATATAATGAATAATAATAGCCAAAAATATAAGAAAAAGAGAAACTTGTTTTGTTGTTGGAATATTAAGGAATCTAAAATGACCGAACCACTGTCAAATAATGAATTCTGGATGACAAACTTACCCGAGAGGAACCAAAAATGGCTACTGAAAAATATTGCTATCCCAGGTTGGTTAACTCATGTTTTTTAAACTTATTTGATTGTTTTCCTGTTCAATGGATATTTTTTTCTTTTTTCGGTTTCGTTTTACTGTTTTTAGTCCGGTTTTTTAATCTGGTTTCATTTTGGACTTACTTACTTATCAATATCTTGTTAATTTTCGTTCGCACGGCTTCAGTAACTTAACAAGTTCATAGCCGAAGTGCAAATTTGCACGCCCGATAGATTTAACGAATTTTTTACTTTATTTACACAAGAGATCGTGATCTCTAGTTTCTCTATTTTTTTTATTTTTCAGTTGGATTAGTAAATGCAATATCTATCATTTGCAACTATTCAGTAATAATTATTATTATTATTATATTTATAATTATTCACATTATTTTGACATATTTTATTATATATTTAATTAATTATTAAACTATTAAAAATATTAGTAACATATTAAAATTAACATAATTAATTTTAAATAAATATATTTCTCAGGTTCCCACAACTCTTTCACATTTGACCTGACAGATTGTAATCCAGTCTGCAAAAGTTCACTAGAGCCATTTCTCCAAGGTATATGCAGTTTAGGGTTCGTTCAGACCATCATATTCAACTGGTCTGTCTGTCAGACATTGACTGTGCATGATCAGTTGAAACTAGGAATTCGTTACTTCGATATTAGGATGGCTTGTAAACCTGAGTGTGGTGATTTGAATTGTGTACATGGGCTCTACTGTGACTGCATCAAGTATTATCTTAATGAGATTAAAAAATTTCTCGTCACTCATCCTAAAGAAGTTAGTTTATTACTTGTCTTGCTCTATCATTCATTATTCATTGATCCTAGTTACTAACCAAATAAAATATTAATCTTATTGTTATAATTCCTTTCTTAATTTATTTATAAAATGATGTTTATTTCAGATTGTGATACTTGATTTTAATCATTTTTATGACATGCAAATGGATGACTTCAAAAGACTTTGTAAAGAAATCAAAGAGATGTATGGGTCTTTGGTTGGTTGATTATTATATCCAGATTTATTTTTCACTTGATATAAATAAATGTCAAGGTTTCATTTTGTTTTAAATTAAATATTATTTCGTTTTTTTAAAACTGTGTACATATCTGTAGCTGCTAATTCATTACAAATTCTTTTTTATATTTGACACTAACTCCTAAACATTTCTGCATCACTTCCATCTAAGATTATACCGAGAAATGAATCAACAGTACTCTCCGACATATGGCAACGCCAACAACAGGTTCTTATAAACTTTGAGGCAAACAACATCCCTGGCTACACCGACATCATTTGGCAGAGAGGTACCGTTAATTCTATCTGGCCTGAAAAAAGTTCAGTCAACGAAGTTATTGGGGTGCTAGAAAACCACTGGAATTCTACTCAGAAAAGTACTATGTTCACTGTAAGTTGAACCTTGCTGGGTTATGACAATACCTAGTTTTTGATAATATTATTTGTTAATGTTGTTGCCGTTTCTATTAGTCACTCTTTTATTATAATATAATTATGGACATAAATATTATAACTATTTTAAAATAATTGTTATAATTTTTATTTTCTTTTATATTTTAAATCTGCTGTGTCAACAGGTTCTGCAAGGAGTTCTGACCCCTACCACTAATTTCGTTTTCATGAATTTGGCTGGCACCTTGAAGACTTCACTGGCCCACGTAGGGATGTGCAAGACTTTCAGTGAGTGGATAGTTAGCAGGCAGGCATTGCTCGATGAGCAGACATTAGAAAATAGAACACAAGCCAATATCTTTTTAGCCGATTTTGTTGAGTCTGCAGATTTCGCTGATAATGTAATTGCTCTAAATTTTGCTGGAAAGGATTGTTAAATCAAGGCAATCTAGTTTTTGGTGTGATACATTTTAAAACTTGACAATTTAACTCATTTTTTCTATTATTTTACTCGCATCACTTTTCGTTATAAACTACTTTTGTAGTTTTCTAATTTATTTTTGCTGTATGTTCATGTTTTAAATTCCATCTGACTTTATAATTAAGATGTTTTTAAGTAAAATGCACTATTGCTAGACTGCGGTTTTTTTTTATAATGGTTTGTAACCGTTATGTTTTATTGACATAAAAGATGTAGCTAATTCGACATTTCAGTGTATCGTGCGCACTATAAACTTAAAATCGTTCTGTTAAGAGCTTACGTGTTGAACAAATCAAAGTAATTGGATTATAGTGCGTTGTGTACTATATGCTTGAAATCGTTCTTTTAAAAATTGTAAGCTTACGAGTTGAACAAATCCAAGTAATTAGACGCTTCATCATTTTTAAAAGAATTAGTTTACTTTTAAATTTTGTTTACAAAACAAATAAACGTGCTTTCGTTAAAATTGTTGAAAATGTCCAAAGAAAGTAATCAGCAGAGTAGCGAAGAAACCACTAATGAATTGAAAACAAACGAAGAAGTGAAAACCATTACAGAAGAAACTAATGTCGGATCGGATGAAAAAGAAGTCCTTAATAAAATTACTTTTAAGGATTTGGTAAGTCAAAGTCAGCCTCAACTTTTTTGGGGGTTTTTGAATATTTTACAAAAAGGGTTATCAAATTTAAAATAACTCAACTCAAAATCTAAAATGTTTTCCCATTATTTAACATTATTTATTAGGGATTAGTGGACATATTGTGTGAAGCCTGCGAACGTTTGAAATGGAAGGAGCCATCGAAGATACAGCGGGAAACAATTCCTGTGGCACTTTCCGGGAGAGACATCATTGGTCTTGCTGAAACAGGGTCTGGTAAAACTGGGGCCTTTGCCCTGCCCATCATCCAAGCTCTTCTCGAAAAGCAGACGAAATTGTTTGCTCTAATTTTAACTCCAACCAGGGAATTGGCAGTTCAGATATCTGAACAGTTTGAAGCACTTGGAGCTTCAATCAATCTAAAATGCGGTAACCATTGGTTCAGTTCTAGTTTTATTTTGTTCAGTTGAATTTTTAAAATGTTAAATTTGTGTTCTATTTTATAAATTTTTTGATATTTGATGCTTAATTAAGTTAAACTTTCTTTTTAAATTGAATTTTTTTTTAGAAAATAAATTTGCGATATATGACATAAAGAATTATTTGTTTTTTTTTATTAAGCTGTCGTCATTGGTGGTGTAGATTTGAATACTCAGAAACTAATGTTGGAGAAGAGGCCACACATTGTTATAGGTGTATAATTAATTCATTCATTCATTCATTCATTCCTTTATTTATTTATTTATTCTATCAATTAATTGTTGAAAATTCATTTCAGTCACTCATTCAATTCATTCAAACTTTAATTTTAATTTTATTAATTATATTTTTTAATATTATATTATGGATCACCGTTTAATTAATTGGCTAACATATAAACTCGATATTATAATTAATTGGCTGTCATATAAACCCTATATTATATACACACACACATACCACACACATACACACATATATACATACACACTAATTAATAATTATCACAATAACCACACATACAATTACTCAAATTCACTAATCCACTATTTAACTATCATATAAACTCCGTAATTTCTCTCTCTATCTCACGCACACACACACACACACATACACACACACACACACACATGAATATCACAATAATCACACATACATACACGCACACACACAATCAACACAATCACTGAAATTTACTAATCCGCTATTCAACTATGACATAAACTCCTTTCTCTCTTTCTCACACATGTACCACACACATACACGCAAACTCTCACACACACACAATAACCATACACACTCACGCACGCACGTACATAAATATCACAATAACTACACATACATACACACACTCACGCACAATCACTCAAATTTTCACTAATTAGCTACTCCTGGAAGGATGGTCGACCATTTGAAGCACACAAAAGGCTTCAATTTCAAAACTCTGAAATACCTAGTCGGTTAATAAATTAAATTCTTATCTAAATAATATTGATACTAAAATTTAATAAGAATATAAATAATAATATTATAAAAATAATATTGATATTAATAATAGATTTAAAAACAATATTTAATCATTATTTAAAATCGCAGTCTGTTATTAGTATGATATTTTGCTGGATATATTTTTCTATATAATATATGTAAACACAAATTTTTTTATATTAATCACAAATTTTATTCTAATTATGGTTATATAATATAAACTCATTTAAACAATTGTTTAATTCAATTAAAAGGTTATTGATGAGGCCGATAGGCTTTTAAATAAAGACTTTGAAAAGGAGGTGTGATTGAATACTCTTTCTTTCATTCATTCATTCATTCATTTGTTTTCTTGTTCGTTCATTCATTCATTTATTTGTTTACTATTCTGTTCATTCAATCATGAAATAAAATTATAAAATCATCTGTTCTGACAAAGTTCTAACACCCAATACATTAACTAACTACATCAGCATGAGTTTCACTTGTGAATACAAATTTTATATAAATTAACTCAATCAATAAGATGATTTATGCTAATTTATGTTAATTTATTCCTATTCAGTTTGATGCCATTCTATCTGCCATACCTAAAATTAGGAACACTTATTTATTCTCAGCTACAATGACTAAAAAGGTTTTAAATAAATTATACATATTTGGTAAAATTATATATATATATATATATATATATATATATATATATAGAGAGAGAGAGAGAGAGAGAGAGAGAGAGAGAGAGAGATATTTTTTGGTAGTTTACATGTATGTTGTATGTGGTGCAGTTGTAGCATGATGTAAATATATATTGATATATATACATTTGTTTGCCTGTCTGTTTGTTTGTTTGTCTGCCTGCCTGTCTGTTTGTTTTTCTGTCTGTTTGTTTGTTTATTTATGATAATTTGTAGAAAATGTTTTTAACTCTAGGTGGCGAAACTTCAGAGGGCATCGTTAAATGACCCGGTCAAAGTTGAGGTTTCGAATAAATTTCAAACAGTCAGCAAGCTGAAGCAGAAGCACTTGTTCATACCTGAAAAATTCAAAGTCGTATATTTATTATATATTATTATTATTATTGTATATTGTAAGTGTACTATTTGTAAATTTTGCCTTTTTTTCATTTCTCGTTAATTTAAATTTCCGATTTCTCAATTTTTATATTTATAATTTTTGATTTGTCTTAATTTGTCCTCAAACACTTCCACTCTAACGATATGTTTATGATCTCTTAATTTCATTCTCTCTCTCTTTTTCTCTCTTTCTCTTTTTTTCTCTCTCTCTATCCATTGTATTCGTTCTACTGATTGGTAGTACCATCTGTTCTTTTTAATATTAATAATAATAATTGTTATTATTATTTTCCATCAGAATATATACCTTGTCTACTTGCTGAATGAGATCGGAGATAAATCAATAATAATATTTTGCAATACGTGCATTCACGTGCAAGAGGCTACCCTGATGTTAAGATATCTAGGGTTCTCTTCTATACCATTGCATGGGCAATTATCACAAGTGCGTGTGTGTATGTGTGTGTTTGTGTGCGTGTCTATGGATTTACGTGTATATTTATGTATGTGTTGATGTGTGGAGTAGTTTCAAAACTTCGGAATTTTTCTAAATTTGATTTCAGTTCTAAGTTTTATATCTTTTCTGCCGGCTTTTTGCGAGCAATTTTGTTTTTTGCCCAAGACAATGGTGATGTGATAATGTAATCATAAACAATGATGATAACATTACAATGATGACGATGATGAAAGTGCCCACAGTAACAACGACATTAAAACGACATTTAATTATAATAATAACTATTAGTATTCTAATTATTTACCATTAGAATCAGAGATTGGGAGTTCTAAACAAATTTAAAAGCAAGGAAAAGTCCATTCTAATTGCAACTGATGTTGCTAGCAGGTGTAACATTAATATTAATAATATTATCACCATGTCACTGTTTAATCACATCATCTCATCATCACGTTATAACATTACAAATCACAGACTCAAAGCAACGCCATGTAATAACATAACCACGTCATTACAACAACATTTCATTACATTACAACATTACATTAAAACATTACATTACAACATTACATTACAGTATAACATTACAGTACAACATTTTATTACATTACAACATTACATTACAACAGTGTCACATTACATTACACTACAGAGGTCTAGACATACCGCACGTAGATGTAGTAATTAACCTGTACGTGCCGATGCACAGTAAGGACTACATACATCGAGTCGGCAGAACAGCCCGCGCCGGCAGAGATGGCGAATCGTTTATATTCGTCACACAGTACGTTTTGTTACTTTACTGGCGAGGAAGGAATGGCGACCTTGGTGTTATCTTCATTTATTTTATACCTTCATGGCCAAGACTGACATTCATTTCTTCAAACAAACGACTGATCTATTAGATACAATATATATACTAAAAAATTTTGAAGTTGCTATGCCTTAAGACTACTTATGGTCGATGTTTATATTGTAATTCATTGTCGTTACCTGCGATCTAGTGCGTTGGTTTTACTTAATTTACTAACCATCACATTCTGTCTTTTCTGCTTTTTTGTTGTAATACTTGAATATTGTTATAATTTTTGTATTTGCTAGTTAGTGTTAATAAGGTGAGTCAGTATGATAAGACAGAAATAAGAAATAAGGTGTTCCAAGGTTATTTGTGTTTTCTGTGGGGATGGGTAAGTCAGAATAATAATATTATCTTACAATGATAGTAATAATGGTAATCACAACAGATATGACGTGATGCTGTTTCTAAAAATAGAAGAGCAGTTGGGTCACGAGATCGAGCAGTACAATCCCATCGAGGATGAAGTCATGGTGTACATGGACACCGTCAATAAGGCCTACATCATGGCCCAACAGGCATGTGTTGAAGAATTATTATTCTGTTGTTGTAATTTTATGGTGTTTCCAAGTTTCAACTATTTTTAAAATATACCTTTTCATCATAGTTTCTTATTAATTCTCACAAATTTGAATTGAGATTTCTTTCTGTTTTAAATGATCATAATTAATTTATTCATTTTATTTCATTTGATCAGGAGTTGAGCAATCAGATTCAAAGAGAAGACAAAAAGCCCAACAGCAATAATAAAAATAATAACGATAATAACCGTCGCAATAATAGAAATAATAAAAAGAGAAGTCTGAAAAGCAGCAGCATTGCCAATGAAGTCCCTATGAAGAGATTTAAAAGAAAGAAGTACTAGCGCCATAATAATTATAGTGATAATAATAATAACTGTAATAATATTTAGCTGGCATTTTGTTACAATATCATTGAGCGACGAAACTAACAATACTTGTGTAAATATTGATTAATTTCATTCATATTTGTGACTTCTGCAATAAAACAAAATTTTATTCTAGAAAATGAAGAAAACAAAATAATATATTTTCTTTTACGATAAGATGAATGAACTAACGAATTACGAATTGATGAATATAAGGTGAACGAACAAACGGATGAACTGAACAAACAAACTGAGAGTTAATACTTTTGTAAACGTTCTTAAACGACAAATAAATGAACAAATAATCTTGAATATTTGAATAAGTCTAAATTTAGCTTAGAAGATTATAGTATTCAATCGTAATAATGCTCAATAGTAAATAATCACAACAGATGCAGTCCTAAGAAAATGATTGATAACATTATTGTGATCAGAATAATTAAGGCTTAATCGAAATATATCTTGGAAGTATCAAGCCTTTTTTACGATACTGATGTAATTGAAGACCTCAACGTCTCCACCACACTGAGCTACATACAATTTGTAGTGTGAATCCAACATCATTTTGTTCGGACACGATATTCCATCTGTCTGCTTGTCGATAATCACGCCTAAAAATCGCCCATCACTGGAAAAGAGGGAAATTCGATCGTTGATGAAATCCGAGACAAGTAGATTACCAAATGTATCACAAATAATGCTGGTTGGGCACTTGATGTCTGTTTGCGAGTTTACCAAATTTGAGTTTAAAAGATTTCCTAAGCTGTCAAATGATTGGATGATGTTGTTATCAAAGACTATGAATATTACATCATCTGTTGGGTGCTTTGCTAGAGATCTGATAACCTGATATTTGGATTTTAACTTGATTCTGTTTTTAATCTCACCTCTATCAGTGTTGAAAAGTGTAATTTCATTATTGGCATTGGTTATCAAGACTTCATTGCTGTTATTAACTTTGTTGGTAATGTTGTGCCAATCAGGAAGGGTCATGTGACCAGATGGTCCCTCAAATATGTTCACCCATTTATTTACTAATTCACCTTGAAATGAAAATTTGCTAACTTCACCTGAGTTTGTTGTCAGCAGGAAGTGCCTATCATCAACAGAGATCATGTCGACTGGAAGAATGTTGTCATGGAAACTTATTGATTTTAATAATTTTGTATCTTTGTTGAAAAATAAAAGTTTTCCAAACCCTCCAGAACTTTCTGTTTTACCAGCTATTATTACATCTTTGTTGTTGGTTGCCAAGCAACAGGGCCAGGAAATGCCTGCATTGTACTTGGCAACAGATTGGGAAATACCTGACCCTACATTTCCTATAATCAAAGATCCTAAAAGCTTTTCTATTAATTGGTCCCTTTTGTTGTGATCTGGTTGCTCTAGTTTAAATTGCTGTATTTTAATTTTAGCATTATTGTTGTTTTGTTGTTGAGCGAGTGTTCTGTTCATGTGGGAGATCAACTCATCTTCTATGTTTAAAAAGTTAACTGTGTGTTTGACTTGGAGAAACTCATCTGAAAAATGTATGCAGTCGTCTAATGCCTGAATACTCTTTGAGAGTGTTTGTTCTTTGGAGTTATACTCATCTAAGCAGAAGTCAAACTGCAGTGAAAGTTGTTGAAGCAGCCTGTCTCTGTGTTGCATGATTTGATTGCATAGTTCATCAGATTTGCTGGTTATGTATGATTTCATTTTGTCTCTATTTTTTGCCAAGTTTTCTTTTATCATATTCAATCTGATAGATTCTTGCATAGATTTCAGTTTATGATCACGAATTTCTCTTAACAACTTATCAACATTTGATTTCTTGAAATTTAAAAAATCATTAAATGGTTGTAAGTTATGCTGGCTGTGAAGGTGTTGAGATGTTTCAGTCACATGACAGTCGTTGCACAGAAACATTTGACACGTAGCACAATAATACTGCGCAATTTTGATAGAAAAATTATCACAGCATACATCTAAGTTATTTGATTTTAATATATTATTACTATTGTTACTATTGGCACATGCATCTTCATCATCTTTATTTAGGACATAACATCCATTATCATTGTTGACATTATTATTCAGACTACAACACAATTCTAATTTCTGAGAAACTCCATTGACCGATGTCTTTGAAATGATGTCCCTTAAAAAGGTCACATCTCCGTTGACGACCCTGACGACGTAACTACACTGGGGACACGAAAAAATGGAGCATCTCACTTCTTCCACTTCAGACTTTCTTGGCATAGCAATCCTATTTTTTTCTAACAAATCTTCTAAACAGGGAACACAACAGAGATGAAGACAAGGCAACAATTTGTAACGCACGTTCTCGGATTCACGACATTTCGTGCAAATTAGTGAAGGATTCGTCAAAGTTTCGCTTAGAAGCTTTTTGTTTTTGTTGCTACCACTGCCGTTAATGAAGTTTAATTCATCTTTAGGACCGGGTTTAAAAGACATAAATCTTTCCTGACATTTAACAGAATCCATTATTAATTTTAACTATAATAAAAAACACAAAAGTCTCACTAATTTTTATTTTTAGTTATTTTTTAATCTTATTCGTTATTACACGAACCTGGGGGCGCGATAATGCATGTACCCGTTGAACATCGACATTTAAATTTTAATTCACCACACAACTATACAACTGTGGACAATTTTTAATCAATGTTGTGAGCTTTTTATTAGTTTTCAATAAAATTTCTGTTAAAAATTATTTATAACCATAGCTAAAATAAATGCATTTTTTAAACGCGTGAATTAATAAATAACATGTTTAATTTAAAAAATGTGTATTTCAAGAGTGTTTGTTAATTTTTTACAGGTTATTTCCATTGCAACTTTACTAAATTAATAAGTTAAACATTCATGGCAATTCATATCATAAAATTTGCTTAAATGAATAAATTCTACATTAAGATAGTTTTTTCTTCAAATACATGTTGATGTATCAATTTAAAAATGTTTTTACAACCCAAGTATCTCTAAAGAAATATCGAGTAACAAATAAAAAAAAGCGTAAGAAATGTTCCATGAACTAAAGAAGAATTTGCGTTAATAGGCAATTTGCCACTACATTTATTCATTCATTCATTTATTCATTTGTTTATTTACTCATTCATTCACTCACTCACTTATTCCTTCCAATTATATGTCCGTCCATTCATACATCCATCAATTCATCCATATTTTGAATGATTCATCCTATTTATTCAATCATCAAGCCAACCATTCACTCACGCGTTGACTCATCCATCCATCCATCCATCCATCCATCCATCCATCCATCCATCCATCCATCCATCCATCCATCCATCCATCCATCCATCCATCCATCCATCCATTTATAACGTCATTATTTGCAGGTCAGTTAGCCGTTAAAATTGGCAATAAATATTCATCAATTACAATTTGTTCATTCTTTCATTCACCCATCCATCTATTTATTCATTCATTCATTCATCCATCCATCTATCTATCTATCCATTAATTCATTAAATTATTCACAGGCCAGTTTGCTGTCGAAACTGCTCAGGGCGATGCCGAAGGCCTGGAGGGCACACATGGGGTAGGCATAATCCATCGTGAAGGTCTCATCTGACACCCTACCGAACTGCATTACTATGTAGTCAACTGTTGTTTTAATCATTAATACTACTTATTATTAGTTATTATTATTTATTATTTTCATTATTATTAATATTATTATTATTGTCAAATTGACGAGATGAATAGAGTAAGATGATGATGATGACGGTATGATGCATTTGTTACGTCGTGATGGCAATTATAAAATGCATCACATTATTATGAAAAATTTATAAAGTGCCATTTAAAGAAAAAAAAAGTCTCTCAAAAGCTCTCAGATACTAATAATTGTATCCATTATTTAATTAATTAATATAATATTTATTTATTTAGTGATTTATTAGGATATTATTTATTCTTATTCAGTTATTCTAATCCTAATAATAAAAGTAATACAAACCATCATTGTCGTGAACGATTTGAAAATTTTTTACTGACGCCTGAGTCACCCGGCCGTGAAAGTTCAGGACGTACGATTGAGTTTCTAATTAAAATTAATTAATTATTCAATTAACTAATTAATCGACTGAATAAATAATTAGTTGATTGTACGATTAATTAACCGATTGTTTGTTTACTTAACTAGTCGTAAGATTAATTAGCTCATCAATTGGTTAGAAATTGAACTTGTTAACTGAAAACTTGCTTTCATGATTAACCAAATTAACCAAGTAACTAAGTAATTAATTAATTGTTTAAATTTAATTATTTTATTAATTAGATAATTATTGCGATTCAACGAACCATCATTCCAGACGGGAGATTTGTTATGCAGCTCCAGCAATCCCGTCATCCTCTTCTGCTTCCACCTCTCCAGTAAGCCATCAGACTCCTCAATGGCACAATCAAATGTTTTAATATTTTAACGTAAAAAAAGGAAACAAATGAAAGCAACAAATCTTTGAAGCAAGCACGAGAAGAAAAGTTGTTGTTGGTGGTGGTGATAATAATACGTTGTTGCTACTCATTGAGGTGACGGATGGGTGTTGTAAGTGAAAGATAGAACTGCAGCCACCTACATTCTATTTGATACATCTTTCTTTTATTAATCTATTTATCAGTAAGTGCCCTCCTTTGTAATCATCAAACAAAAAACTTTTCAAGGCACAAGACAGTACAACACGCAATATACACAAAATACAATATACACAAAATACAATATACACAAAATACAATATACGAAAAATATAGGCAATTCAGCGTGTCAGGCGTCATAAATTTGCGGATAACGTGTAAGAATATCCTACAGCAACTCAGTAAGCCGGAGTGCTTTGTCATTGAGTCGTCCATTTTAATGATTACACTACACCGTCGTCGTCCAACTTACAGTTTTGGGTCTTATTTCAACTCTTTCATGCTCCAGGTTCATGCCCGGCAGTATGATGGTCATCTTGCGAGGTCCTTTGAAGCCAAGTACGTTCGTTTCCTTAAGGTCAATTTGTGTGTGTCCATTGTGCGTGTGTGTGTGTGTGTGACTGTGTGTATATGTACATTTATATTTAAAAAGGTGCATTTAAGCGTGAATGTGATTATGGGTGTATATTTTTATATACGCAATCATTACCAAACCACAAACAAACAACGCCACACGACAAGTGCCACAACAATGCCGCACATACGTAAGCCACGGCAGCTAATTCTCTCCTGGCTTCATCAACACTCCTGTCTTTCGGGGTACGACCCTGGTCGAAGATGGTGAACTGGGTACCGATTAGATTCGATCTGTTGTTGTTATCATTCAGATTATTGTTATTCGTCTAATATTTGTGTGTGTGTGTGTGTGTGTGTGTGGGTGATATTTTTTCGGTGTTAAGAGTTAAATATGTGCACATGTGTTTGTGTGATGAGTTAATCTCTCTCGATTGCTTTCATAATATTAGACGGGTATATACATACTTCGGAGAAGTGCGTGCTTGCTTCGAGTGCTTTATTAAGAGACATCATCCTTGTCATCATCGTCGTCGTCATCATCGTCGTCACCATCACCACTTTTTATACATTTTGATCCACGCCAATGCTAATAATTTCCACCAACATCATCATCACCATCATCTTCATCATCATCTTCACCATCATCTTCATCATCATCTTCACCATCATCTTCATCATCATCTTCACCATCATTTACTTCATCATCACCTACCTAACTTTCCCGATAAAAGACGCACTGTCTCTGGAAAGTTCGGTGGGGTCGATGGACAGCAAGTAGTTTGATGTGGCCGACTTCTTCCGTTTCCGGCCGGCCAGTAAGAATATCTGCGTGCGTGTGTGTGTGTGTGTGGCTGTATGTGTGTGTGAATGTATGTGCGTGTGTGATGTGTAGGAATGTGTGCGTGTCCTGTTTTTACTTTGCGTTTTTGAAAGAGTTTAACATAGGTAATGCTATTAACTACGTAGGAATCATAATCATGATCAACATCATCATCACCATCACCACCATCATCATCACCACCACATCATCATCATCAGGACCTTTCTACCGTCTTCTTTCTCCAGGTGGAGGTAGTATGTAGGATAGAAACCCTTATCTATTCCCCTCTTATCTCTGGATATCCTGCATTTTATGGTGGTCCCCGCTGGCGCCGGTTCAAGGACGAATTCCTGAAGGTTAGTGATGTCATCGACTTCCTTCAGCGTTTGTGATTGGTCGTCGTTATTTAGCTGGCGTGGCACGGAGTCCTGTTGTTGTTGGTTTTTGAATAGATGCTATTTTTAGACTTGGAGAGCTATTTTAGTATTCACGTATGTACGTACATTATTTTTGATTGTACAAGTGTGTGTGTGTGTGTGTGTGTGTATATCAGCGTATATATATATATATATATATATATATATATATATATATATATATATATATATATATATATATATATATATATATGCGTGTGTGTGTGTGTGTGTGTGTGTGTGTGTGTGTGTGTGTGTGTGTGTATGTATGATTATACATGTATGTAAAAGTACAGATATTGCATCTTGTGACGGGTGCACTAACATTATTATCCCCGCCGCCAACATCACCATCATAACCGCCAGCCTGTTTTTTGTTATTTTTTCTATTCTTCCCTTGATTTGCTTTTTTTCCCTGTCTACCATTATTTCCGCCATCATCTTCAGGACCGTCACCAATGCCGATCTTGTCGTCATCGTCGTCGTCATCATGCTGTCTCGTTTTAACGTTTCTATTTCCGCCGTCGTCGTCATCATCATTGTTGTTGTTGCTGCTGCTGTTGTTGTTTGCCAAATCATTGTCGTCGTCGTCGTATTTCTTAGCGTATTTCTTGTTAGTTTTGCTCTTTTTGCTGGTGTTTATGTTATTATTTCTTTTGTTGTTGTCGTCGTCGTCATTGTTGTTGACGTTGTTTGTTGTCGTTGTTGGTTTTTTGTTTTTGTTATTTTCTCTCGCGTTTTGTTTGTTGCTAGGAGTAGATGGTGTTGTTGTTGCATTATTACTATTTTTAGCTCGTTGGTTTTTTGCTTGCTGTTGTTGCTTGCGATTGTTGCTGTCGCGATCGCTTCCACCGTCGTCGTCGTCGTCATCGTCGTCTCGTCTGCGAACGTCAACCACTTCAATTTCTTCGACGTCGTCGTCGTCTTCGTCGTACTTTTTTCCCGGTTTTCCCGCTGGTTTTTTCTGATGTTTCGATTTATTATCTGTTGCGTTGAGGAGAAGTTTTAGTTTCGTTTAGTGATTTTGGTTATCATTGTTCTTCGTTATCACCATCACCATCGCAACCATCATCACTACAATTGTCTCTGTAGTCATCAACATTATCAAAGAAGCTACTAACCACTTCTTATTTCCGGAATTTGCGTGACGTCATCATCATCCTCGTCATCATCGTCGTTGTATCTCTTTACACGCCTCGCGTTTTTGTTCGAGTTACTCTTACTGTTAGCAGGAGAGCGGTCGTCATTCTCTTCGTCAGATATATTTTTGCACGGACCTACGTATGCTGTTGTGTGTGTGCGTGTGTCTGTGTATATGTGTGTGTGTGTGCGTGTGAACCTGTGTGTGTGTGTGTGTGTGTGTGTGTGTGTGTGTGTGTGTGCGTGCGTGCGTTCATACAAACGCCAACACACGTACATACAAACACGCACGCACGCCGCCTATACACAACGTACTGTATTTAGCATCACCATTACGATTTGGGATGACGGAATTATTATTATTCTGTCCGGCACCACCCCTGTTGACCAGCGGCCTCAACGAATCGTCCTGCTGTGGTCGGTTGTCGCCCGGCTGAAGCATCATCGCCGTCGTCCGCTTCTGATCTTGTCGACGCTTCATTAACTCTTTCTGTGATTGGTTGGTTGATTGGCCGGTGGTTTAAGATGGATTGATGTTGTAACTGATTCACGGTTATGCAGGTTGTGTGGCTAATTGATTGACTGATTGATTGACTGATTGATTGACTGATTGATTGAATAAATGTTTGTTAGGCTGTGTAATCGAGTTCGAATATAAAAAATATCTCCGTTTTCTGTGCGAATGTACATGCATTTTTCTATGAAAATAGATCTATACACGTAAGGTGTTTTTCAATTTAAAATCTCTGCCTGATTGGTTCTTGTTTTGGATTTTTGGTTAGTTATTATTATTATTATTATTATTATTATTATTATTATTATTATTACAACATACGTGTTTCTCCATTTTGGCTTTGTAGACAGCGGAGTTGGTACTGCCAGAATTTGGCCTTTCATCATCTTCCACTCTATATCGACGTAAAAAAAATGTTTCAAACTTTGTTAAAAATACATTTTTGTAACACTATGCGTTGTATAAATTTAGTTAAAATGTCTCGGATCGTATCGAAACACGTCGCTTCTTTGTATCGAGACATCTGTCTGGTCTTGTACGTACCGAAGTTGCCTGGTTCGAACATAAACAGTTCGGCAGATGCACAAGTTTTTTCATGCGTTAATTTCACGTATAATAATTAAGGAGCATATTGTAAAATTTTATTCAAAGATTGTTCGTTAATCAAAGTGAAAAATAAATCCTAACAATCCGAGCGGGATGTCTCCCCAAGCGATTGAACTCATCCTATTGAATGGTTGGGGGGTCTTTTTCACCAATCACTAAATGACTAACTAAAAATTACACTTTGAAGGTTCTAACTACGGTGATTTTTAAATGATATTATTGAGCTTATTTATTGATTCCCTCTAAACTAAACGACAAAATATTTATTCAAAAAGAATCATTTAAGAATCTAAAAATAATTAATGTTAATCAAAAAGAATCAAGATTCAAGACTAACTAAAAACTAAATTACTAAAACTAGAGATTTGTAAAAGATAGCTAACTGTATATTAAAAAATGAATGCCAGACAATAAAATAAAAACTATTTGATCATAAAAACTTTTGTATTAAATACAAAAAAACGGAATAATTAAAATGCAATTTCAATAAATTATTATCATTGCTTCGACTTTCATTGTGCATTTGAAGCAAATGAACTGCAGTCATGGAAACCGCATAAACAAAAGAACGTAATACCACAGAGATGAGTGGTACGTTGCGTCGTGTACTTTCACCATATTATAATTAAACCAACCGTATATTTATATTAATTAATTAATTTATTTATTTATTTATATATAAATTTAAAATGTTTTACAACTGTTTGATTATGGAATCTATGTCGTTGAGCAAGTTAACTGATTTCAAATGGTTAGATGAATTATATTACCTTTGGGACCTAAATAAACGATTACTGATGTGTGTGTGGCCAAACTGGGCATATAGGCATATATATATACATATAGATTAAAAAAGTCATTTTAAACAAATAAATGTTTAAATATGAACAGGCCCGCCGACAGGCTTTTAGATTGTGACAATTAAAAATTCACTGACATGTACACGTACAATTAAGTTAGATTCGTACTTGGAACAAGAAGTTTTGGAAGCTTTAACAAAATGAGACCTGGATATCAAAAACTGTCGAAGTCAATCTTTTGACAACGTTTCTAACATGTCAGGGAAGTACTCAGGTTTACAAACACGTGTTAAAGAACATAGTTCAAGTGCTGTTTTTATTCCTTATGCTAACCATTCATTAAATTTAGTTGGACATTTTGCTGCAGAACACCGTAACACAGCGGTTCAATATTTTATGTTTCTGCAAAAGCTATTTACATTTTATCATCATCAACTCACCGCTGTAATTTGCTAAACCACATAATAGATAGTATCAAGGATAAACAATTTCTTTCGTTAACAAGGGTGTCTGATACAAGACGGTCAGCAAGAGCTGACGCTGTTTTGGCTTTAAAACTAAAATATACAATAATAAAGGAAACGTTAAGTGCCCTATGCAATGGACAGGATGAAAAACTTATCACAATACTTGAAGCAACCTCACTACTTAAATAAAAATGCATAAATAGTAAAGCGCATTTATGACTGCTATTTGGAATGATTTTAAACGCACACACAGCTGATGGAAAAACGTCGGTATAAAGATTTCAAAAAGTTGTTGTGTAAATAAAACATAGTAGAGTAAATAAAATTTTATTTCCTAGAGTGGAAAATGCATTTAAAGCTTGCGTTTCCATATATTTGTACAATACTGCTTGCCGTTGTCATTAACCTACCTCATTTCGTGCATTGCATATTAAAAGAAATCGAAAAAGGTTCAATTCTATATTTCATTTCATATTTCTACAAATTGTGCTTACAATGGCGCGTGGTTGTGGTGAAATTGTGTAGTTGGTGTTATGGCAAGATGGTGCAACGGCTAAGGTACCTGGTCCCGCTGTTGATGTGACTGAGTTGGAATGCAAACTGATCCCCGCCTGCTATTAGAGACAATGTGTCTGATGCGTGGATTCATGCCTATAGCAACATGTGCTGTATCATGTTGATACCTCTGCGGACTAATTAAGAATGAATTTATAGTATTAGTGAATAATTTTATTGAAATACAAATAAATACCCTGCTTGCTCTTTACATTTTTTAAAAATAATCACGCAAACAAAATCTGATAGTTTTCAATGAAAGTGATATTCGATTGATCCGAGAGTTGGAAAAATTAAAAAAAAACTTGACAGCAGTTCTGTCAAAACGTGTCGTTCCCAAAGAAATTAACAACCGGATGATCCAGAACGCTATAAACGCTCGAAAACTTGCGGACATTTTCAAAGAAGTTTCAACTTACAGATGGACTCCAAAAAGCAATCAGCAAGAAGTTACCAAGTTTCGTAACAACTTTAAGAATGCCAACGTCAAGAGTAGCCGCAATAACAACAGCGATGACGATTTAACTGAATCGAACTACAATAAGAGGTATGAAGCTGAAAAATATTTGACCGATGAAGAAATATTTTTCGTAAGTTCGCATCTTCCATATTGTTCCGAGATTCCTAAAAATTTAGGTAAACTATTTTTAAATAAATCGCAACCAACAAATTGCTCAATTTATAATTAAAATAGAACATGAAACATAAAAATAAAAATAAACCACCATTTGTTATTCACCTCTAAAGTTGGACATATGAATGTTAGCCTCGAGGATTTGATGAACTCTACAATTGAAAAACTTTTTGAGAACCTGACTTCCAAAATTGAGTTAGGCGGTTCATGGAGACCAAAGAACTGCA